ACCCCGCGCCCTGAGGAAAACCGTGCTGTGGGCTGCTAGAGACACTGCCAGGCGGCACCTGACAGTACCTTACGGCCTGCCTGACCATTCCACCTCTCCAGCCTGACTATGCCTGTGTTCCTGAAGCCTACTACTTCCCTGTGTCAGTCCACACATTTCTGGTCATACCCGGATCCCTAACAGAAACTTTGTCTTGAAACCGTTAAATTGATGAGTTTAGTTCCACTTTAATCAGCAGGGCTCTATTTTTTTCAGCTTCCCGCCATTTTCCTGAAGTGGTGGTTAAGCCTGAGCCAACTCAATGCTGAAGTCTTCTGCAATTAGGAGTATTGTGTGGGCTCCATGCTCCTTTCCCACGTTTTGGCTGTTGAGGAAAGAAGTGTCCTGCTTTGCTGCCTTCGAATTTCATCTTTGATGAACCCAGGCTCCAGTGGGTTCCACTGGCTGCATAAAGTGACCAGGTCCCCCTAGGCTGCCTGTGACCCTGATCAGCATAGCCGGCTATGGTTTGGAAGTGTACAAGGCATGGCTTCACTTTGGATCGAGTTTGCCTTTTAAAAACTGCTCTGGAGACAGTCCCGCTACCACAGGTCTCCCATATTCCCAGACTATTACTAGGGGTTACTTGTCCATAGCCCCGGAAGGAACTGAGGCCTGTAATCTGGTTCCTCCAACTCCTATTTCCAGAGGGATGTCCCATTCAGCAGCTTCTACTTGGGCTGTTTGCTGATCCCAGAAACCTCCAGTTGTGTGAGACTCATATTTAGAAGTATTCTTACTACTACAAATGACACTTCTACAGGATATGGGGTTGTCAGGGAGCAACATCTGTCAATGTCTGAGCATCACAATCATACCTGTGGAGTGACCTTCTTCTCTTCTCGGCTTTGTGTGCACACCTCACACAGATCAGGTGCCTTGTGTTACACTGTACAGTCTGAGGGACTGATCACTGAGTGCAGCAAGAAGTACTTCCTCCTGCCTGTAGCAGACAGATGGCCTCCATTCCCTCAGCAACTTTCTTTTATCTCAATGTTTAGCCTATAGATGGAAGGTTTCTGTTATAGCACAACCTATCAGCACTAGACATGTGTGGTTTGTTTCGTTCCAAATTGAAATTGTCCTTATTCGGAGATTCAGATGTATGTGAATTTCCAAATTACAATACAGTAGTAACAAATTACAACGAATCCAAAATAAAACAAAATTTCTTCTGAAATAATTATTTGGGATCAAATCAAATTTGAAACTAATTTGAAAATGAAACTCGAAAACAAATTCTTTTACAATGATGTTTATTGACATTAGCATTCTAACATACAAACAAGTCCAGAGTTATGCAGGCCATAGAGGGGTAAAAAACTGGCCGATTTTTCGCCCGACGGAAAAATCGTCCGATTTCCGTACCGTGTATGGCTTAGTTCATCGCCCGTTTTTCGTATTTTTTCCTCGTTTGGATTATCGTTCACGTTGGGAAATTTTCTTAAAACGACCGATTTATCAGCGCATTGGTGGTCAAACCGTACGATCGTTTTGACCAAAATGTAATGCGCATGTGTAGTGACCTGGAAAGAAAAGAAGTCTTTTGCGTACGAAATTTCGTTTCCGGGACAACCTGTCAAAAGTTCTAGAATGTAAACAAAAAACATTATTGCATGTTCTCCTGTGTTAATAGCTTTGTGTTTCATGTACAGAACATGTATCCGCTATGGTTATTGCACTGTTCATAAAGTACCCTACAAAAGAACGAATATATGTCCATTATCAACATTGATTAAACTTTATGCATTATAGCTTATGTCTAAAAAATATTAACAGTCATATAGTTTTACAGCAACACTGCTTTATTAATGCATTTTGGCAGTAGCCAAAATCGCATTTTAATATTTTGTATGCAAAATAGAAAATTTAAAAAAAACTATCTTTTTTTAAAATATAAAATAAGAAGTTTACATTGCATACAAAGGTCACAAAATGACATAATTTCCTGTTAGAGGTTAGGATTGTCACGGCTTAATCTACCGAGTTTTGTAATCATTAGTGGTTACGTCGGATCTAAGACCGACCGATATTTTGTTTATCGAACTAAAAAAGTGACAAATTTCGTACCATCTATGGCCTGCATGGGAGAAATACAAGTCAAATGAATGTGTGGTTCCTCGAATAAAAGCAAGAAATGGAGAAATGCACTGATTAATAGAAGTAAACAAAACAAATGGCTCCGTCATATAAAAGGTAGGCTGGCCATTCATTATACAATTGTTTTGAGAATTTGGCTTTAGATTTTCCAAAACCCATATAATATGAGGTTAAACCTAAACAACCCTTTCAATTGTATCCAATTAGGCAGGCCTTTGTACTACATAGTTGAAGGTAAATCTAGAGAAAATTGGGCAGAAATTGGACAGAAAATTGTATAGTGTATGGCCAGCCTTAGAGATGTAAAGCAATTTACAATTATGATTAGCATAAGAGAGACAATGTTTCATCAACACAAACTATAAGTTGAACATGAAAACGGCATACAAAATGTTGTTTAACTATAGAAAGTAAAATACTGATTCAGCAATTTTCTGAGCCCGAAAAAGTCTGGCAGCTATGTAGTATTGCAAGGGTCCATAACCAGCACAATACAAAAAGGATGAGAAGAAAAAAAAAAGGGAGAAATGGATAAGGAAGATAAGGAAGGGTCCTGGTGGTTCACGGCACAGGACCGCTAAAGCGACAATTCGAGAACAAATTCACACTGTAAACACACATTGCTGACTATTGCTAAATTTCTTCAGTGACTGAGATTATTAGTGTTCGAATATAGCTGTCTTCCGAAATTCAAAAAGAATAGAAAATAAAGGAATAAAAAAAGAATAGAACAAAAAAATAGAATAAAATCTAATATAGCCATCTCTCAAAATTAGAATTTGAATAGAATAAAATTCAAATATAGCTATCTTCTGAAATTTGAAAAGAATAGAAAAAAAACAGAATAGAAAAGAATAGAACAGAAAAGAAAGAATATAACCGTCAGTTATCAGCTGACCCAATGAAGAAGTGTAGATTGAGAATAGGAGAGGTCCAAGGACAGAACACTGGGGGACCCCAACAATAAGAGGAGTAGGAGAGGAAGAAGTAGAGTTGTAAGTGACACTGAAGGTGCGGTGAGATGGGTAAGATTTGAACCCATGGAGAGTACAGTCACAGAGACCAAGTAAATAGAGTTTTTTTGAGGAGGAAGGTGTGGTCAACTGTGTCAAATGCAGCGGAGAGGCCCAAGAGCAAGAGTACAAAATAGTGACCATTCGATTTAGTGGTTAGTAAGTTGTTTGTGAGTTTTAGGAGAGCAGTTTCCGTGGAGTGCTGTGGGTGAAATCCAGACTGAAGGGGATTGAGAAGGTTAATCTCAATGAGGTGGCAGCTCAGCCGGTTGTAGACTAGACGTTCAAGGAGTTTGGAGGCAAAAGGGAGTAAGAAGATGGGTGTTAGGTTGCTAAGATTGGTGGGCTCCAGTGAGGACTTTTTTTTTTAAGTATGGGGGTCTTCTGAAATTTGAAAAAGAATAGAAAATAAAAGAATGGACTAGAAAAGAAGATAAAAATGGAATAGAGAATAAAACAGAATAGAAAAAAAAATAGAAGAGAAAGACCGTCTGTCTTCCAAAATTCAAATAGAATAGAATCAGCTATTCTTCACAATGAATTTGGATCAATTTGATATTCTCGATTTGAATACTTTGAATCTATTAGGAAAAATTCTAATCCGGTTTGAAAACAAAACAACACTAAACGAATGTAGTTACAAATGCAACAACCTGATATTTATACAGATATATTGGAAACTCAGTGGCTAAATGGTTAGCCTGGCAGTACTAGGGTCGGTGGTTCGAATCCCAACCACAGCACCACCTGGGTGGAGATTGCATGTTCTCCCTGTGCCTGCGTGGGTTTCCTCCAGGTACTCCGGTTTCCTTCCACACTCCAAAGACATGCTGGTAGGTTGTGTATACATGAATGTGAGTTAGGGACCTTAGATTGTACACCCCTTGAGGGTTAGGGACTGATGTAAATCTATATGTAAAGTGCTGCAGAAATTGATGGCCCTATATAAGTACCTGAAATTAATAAAAAAAATGAACTTAATGAATCAATCCGAAACGCAATTATTATTATTATACAGTATTTATAAAGCGCCAACAGTTCGCTCAGCGCTGTGCAATGAATGTTTCTGTTCTGCACGTCTAATGACCCCGAAGCTTATGGAGCCAATAGGATCCTTTATTACATGGCGGTCTGTAGCTGAGGGTAGATCCTGTGGACTGACCCCCCCCCCCCCCCCCCCAAGTGGCCCTGAGCCGTCCTTGTTCTGTCCTATACACACAGCAGCGGGCGCTGGTATTGATTAGTACATAGGCGTCGGCAAAGAACAAGGTGAACTTCAGCATGAAATATTGTGATAGCCGATCGACTAATGATAGGTGATGATGGGATGGTGGTCGTACAGCTCAGGGCAGAGACCCGCACAGCTCGCCCACAACAGGTTAACTCCAGCTGTCAGCCCGCCGTGTGCTGTGGGCGGAGCTGGGCTTTCCTATGCAGAGGCAGTCTCGTATGCAAATTCATATCCCCTGATCTCTGACGTCGTATCACACCACAGCATGCCAAGCGCTGCCATTGGACGACGGGACCTGGTCTCATTGACAACAAAACAACCAGCACGCGCTATTACAAGAGTATGGGCGGGGCTTCCCTCATGCACATGGGCGTGTTCAGAGCGGAGGGAGTGGGAAACCCCTAAAATCCCATTTTCGATGCTGCGATTCGCTGAACTCCTAGAATCCAGAGCGAGGCTTGGCTTGCAACTCCATGACGTCATGGCTGGTTTTGGGCGGTGCTGGGGGAACATGGCGCCTGGTTGGTTAGTGACAGGTCGGAGAGTGTGACAGGAACCGGGAGGAAGGAGCGGCTCCCAGAGGGGGGCGTGTGTTCTGCCGGCCTTCCAGCTCCCGTATGGAAACAGGCGAGCTGAGCATGGAGAACATGGAGACCCTAACGGAGCTGGGGGATGAGCTGACCCTGGGAGACATCGATGGTGAGCGGAGGGTGAGGAATGGGGGAGGACTGCACAGACTGCACTGTCCCCTCCACACAGCCCTGCCTTGTCGTTGAAGGAGACCGCCTGGAGTCTGTCCAGTCCGGGGAAGTTCCAGTGTCAGGCTCCCCATACACGTGAATATCTGATTGTACGATCAACCATGGGACATGAGGAGCTCCCTACACTGTCCGATCACACCGGCTCCTCTACTACATACTTGATGGGAGATCTGAATGAGGTTGTGCAATCAGATTGTGTCGTGTATGGTGAGCACAGGACCCGATCACAGCTGTGTGTGTGATAGAGCAGCTTGCTGCATCTGTAATGCACTTCATGAAATGTGTGTTTCATAGAGTTCAATGGTGACACACCGAAAACGTGGGGTGGGGGCGTGTGGTAGGGCGGCCATGATGCCGCTGATGTACCGATCACACAACTTAAAGTGGATGTAAACCCTCCCATGTACCCAGTGAAGTGACTGGCCTCATGGAGATAAAATAGATCCTCCGACATAGGTTGTACCTGTTCTGCAGTGTTCTCTTCTTTACATCTGCTCAAAGTGCTGCATTTATAAAGCTTGTCTCAGCTTTCAGAGAGTGGGGAACTGACATTACACACTGGAGAGCTCCGAGAGCTGGTTGGAGGGAAGGGAACACCCCCCCCCCTCCATACAGAACAGGAACAGAGCTGAGGCTGTCAATCACAGGCTGTGTGCTGGAGATCTCTCCCATCACCATTTTTTCTTGGTGTCAGGAAAACTTGTCAGAAGTGATTTTTGCACATAGCAGAGGAGGCATACAGAAATGACACTTAGTGCTCTGAAGTGAGACCCACACAGTGAGTACACACTATAAAGGGATGTGCTTTGTTCACAACCACTATGGTGATAATGGTCCCTTGAACAACATGACTACCCCCCACCTACCATAACTTCTAGTTCATAAACCAAGCAGAGGACATCATTCTTTTCAGTCATTTATTGTGTGAGCTATTCTGCAATGTGCACTGAATATTTTCTTCTTTCATTTTGGTATTTTTCTCTTTTCTTTTTGATTCTAATAATTTTTTTGATAAGTATTTATTTGCAATGCTCTGCATTTCTATGTCATACAAGCGTCTCTTCTACTTCCTACATTTTACATTTCTTCCCCTGCATTCTGTCTGAACCAATACTGCGTCAATACTGCTTGTATGGATGTAACTCTTTCCCTGGACGTATATGGAACCCTCACCTTCTGAATCAACCCATTTGGGATTAGAGATGAAAGGCAAAACAGTTGTGTATAGATATAACAAAAAATATTAAAAATACATTTTTTCCCATTTTTTTAAGTGATCACATCCCTCTGTTCTCAGCTGCAGCAGGAGTTCAGAGAGGTGGATGAGGAGAAACTGCAGCACACTGATCTTCCCAGTGAATGGCTGTGCAGAAGGGGGTGTGTCAGGACAAATCATTGGAAGAGAGCAGGCTGAGTTCCCACTACATCTAGAGAACTGACCATGCTGTGCACTCATGCCTAGTGTGGTCAGTTTTTAATAGGAAAGCGGAGGGACTGAACACCAGGGATTTCACACAAAGGAGGTACATGGAACAGCAGGCACATATCAGGAATATGAAATGTTGGGTTTATATATTCTTTAATAAAACAAAATATAAATAAAACAAACTGGTAAAAAGTGCCTAAAATGCAGTGCATAGATGTGAACTGGCCCTAGGGGGGTCACCATACAGATTATAATCTGACCATACAATCTCTGTACTAGTATAGCTTTAGATGTTCTAAAACTGAGGACCTACCTAAACTGTATTCTAATCGATCCGTCTCCAGTCAGGTGGCCCTTGCACTACATAGTTGTTGGTAGATCTAAGGGAGATTGTACAATCAGATTGGTGTGTGTGTGTGTGTGTAGATCTGAAAAGAACTCTGGTGTTTTCTTGGCTGCATGTAAATGATCAGCAAGTATATAAACGTACTGCCCATAGAGATTGGGACACCAGATCTGCATGTGTATGGACCCCACAAGGTGGGAGCCTGCTGTCCTGAAGCTGATGTTGCCGTTTTATGTATACATGTACAATCCGTAGATGGAGAGTCGAGATGTTGTCTGATATTGAGCTTTCATTTATACACACTTCTATGGATCTGGAGTAAGCTGTGCTGTCATTGACAATATCTCAGCATGTAGCAGTGATGCCATGTGTGATTATATCTTCTCTCCTAAGCCCTCATTTGGAGGCTTTTTTGAGCATTTTTAGGGATGAAGTGTCATATAGGAGCTTCTATGGGGCAGAATGGAGCTCATAGGCTTTTATTAGGGGAGCACCTGAACACCAAGCGTTCCTATTGTGGTCACTGTTACCAAAAATGCCCCATTCTGCTTCCACTGCAGCTCATGCACCTTTTCAGACTACAGATGCCCGACCACTCACAGGGACGATGTCGGAATATGGGATTTGCTTTGTTTTCTTTGACTTGCAAAACACTGAGTGTGAATGGGGAGTGAAGATTGCAGGCTGGGTGGTGCTCCAGAGCTCCGTGTGTGAAGATGATGATGATGTAACATGTTCCTGGAATGTGATTAGCGTGTGACATTGGTAAAATTCCCACTTTTTCTTTCTAGGTTTTCCAGTTTGTAAGAAATCATGCATTTGTGTGGGGTGTTTATGTGAAATTGTAAGCTTTAGGCGATTGGGGACTTTTAAATATTATTTAGAGGGTTGCATGGAAACTATTTCTAGGAGCAGAAAAGACATCAGTAGCATCATTCATAAGCCAGGAAGGTGACTCACTAAGGTGGGTACAGTTAAAGTTTGTTGTCACATGAGGAAGTTTACTGGCCGGGAAGGGGAATAGATCATCAGTGATTTTAGAGTATAATGGAGAAAGGTTTTCACTGGACTTTATATGTGGTGATTGTTATTTATATGGCACCAGCAATTTCCACATCATTTAATATATTGGCCGAAAACTGAAATGGACCGTTTTTAATTTTTTTTAAATTTTATTTTAAATTATGAATGTGGCTGGCGTTTTTGCTTTGAAGTCTATGGGACGCTGTTTTGTATTTAAGTCACTAGAGGGCGTTTATGCTTTGAAGTCATTAGGACATGATTTTGCATTGAAGTCTGTGGGGTGCAGCATGCCATTATCGGCATTTTTTTTTTTTTTTTTTCCGGTTTCCACCGGCAAAGCCCTATTTTCGGCTGATAAGTTTCAGTAGCAGATACAGCAGTGCATCCCTACTTAAAATCTATGGTCCCTTTTTCTCATATATATAACTGGGGCAATTAAATTGTGTTTTTTTTTTTTTTTTTTTTTTTTGTTTTGTTAACGTCGGCCTCCACAACAGCAAAAACACCTTACCAGCCCATGGAGTCCAGCACTGTCTTCCTATAATCCAGAGACTTCTTGCCTTTTTATTCTCCCACACCGCCATCTTAGATTTGAGCACCAGTGTTTTGGAAGTGGGAGCTTGCTCCCAAATCAAAGATGGCACCTGAGGCATCACTGCACATGTGTGTATGCCAGCAGACTATCTTGGAGCTGTACGTGTGGTCATTGGCAGTCGATTCCCAAATCAAAGATGGCTGCTGAAGCATCATTGTACATACATGCACTGGCAAACTATGAGGAGAGCACTCTGAAGCCTCCTGGAATTTGTGCCGTGTAACCCAGGAGGCTGGTTGGCCGATGTCCATCCTTGCCTAAGTGGATCGGAGTGCTTGTGGTGCAGAGTAAACGGTACAGACAATTAATAAACATGAAATATAATTAAAACAGGTTGAGATTAGCAGACTCTTCCTTTATTGTATTCACTTAGAAAGAATTGAGTTTTCAATAAAAAAAAAATAGGTTTGCAAACATTTTAGCAGTGTTTTTGTTGCAGTGTGTTTCTAAAATGGTAAATCAGTTGACGAATCCATGTACAAAAAATATCTGTTTGCAGATACTGAAAAATATATGGTTCATTAATTGTGTTCATATTGTACATAAACAGAGATGTTGCATTGCATCGTCATAGCTGCTGTTTGTTTATTATTCAGCAATGTTCCAGAGTAAAATGTGGTTTGATGGGTCACTGTCTGCTAGAAGCACATTTAAAGCCTGAACTGGATAAATTATGGCGATACCATGGTACCGTGAACAGGACCAACTCTCAGAAATGCTAGTTGGCGATCTGTAATGCGGATTTAGCAGCTTCAATAATTTAAAGATATTAATATAAACCTCCTGCGCTATGGAGTGGAAAATAAGTAAAAAATGGCTGCTAACACCCTCAACTTAATACCTATAAGTGAATGGTGCTAAACATATATTTAAAAAAATGGTGTAGCGCGCATATATATATATATATATATATATATATATATATATATATATATAATGAATAATAAAAAATGATAAATAGAAAAATATAAATGGTGATACATAAATATGTAGTTACCTGATCCCCTCTGGGATCTTAAAGTGACCTGAAAACTTGTGAAAATAATAAAAAAAAAAAACTTGGTCCTAATTGGACCCGATGTGGTAAACACACACACAAAGTGCTAACTAATACCCAAATCCCTAATTGGGATCAGTGGCTGAACACAGCCTAAAAAGCAAACAAAACAAGTGCCACATACAAGTGAATCCCTGCACTGGGGGATATTCCTCCTATATAAAGTGAATAGTTCTCAGTGACAAAAAACAAACTCCAAAAAATGCACAATACCTAGAAATCACAACCTCCTCCCCACTGAATAAATCCCAAAATAATGTCTAAAAATAGTATAGTGAAATATACTTATAAGTGAAAAACCAAAAAATATTGAATATAAAAGTCCAAAATTATGTGCATATAAGCCAAGTGTTCCACTAATTTTTCTAAAACATGCAGGTGGTGCTGTGGATGTGCATTACAGCCACTGGTGATAAATCTAAACAATGGCTGAACTACCTCCTTACCATGACCCAGTGGGCCAAACCGCTTTTGGGATCTCAACTGGATCC